AGCACGATTCATAACAGCCAAAGGTGGAAACAACCCAAATGTCCATCAGCTATAAATTTATAAACAAAATGTGGTATGCCCATATAACAATATTATCTGGTAAAAAAGGAATGAAGAACTGATGTATGCTTCAATGTGGATAAACCTTGACAACATTATGCTAATTGAAAGAAACCAGTCACAAAGACAACATATTATATAATTCAATTTTTAACAAAGATTTTATTTATTTATTTGTCAGAGAGACAGTACAAGCAGGGGGAGCAACAGGCAGAGGGATAAGTAGGCTCCCCTCTGAGTAAGGAGCCCTATGGGGGGCTTGATCCCAGGACCCTGAGATCATGACCTGAGCCAAAGGCAGACGCTTAACTGACTGAGCCACCCAGGTGTCCCTATATAAATCAATTTATATGAAATGTCCAGAGTATGCAAATTCATAAACACATAAATAACAGAAAGTTGGCCATTGGTTGCTAAGGGATGAGAGGGGGGATTGGGAGTGACTGCTGACATGTATGGGGTCTCTTGTTAGGGTGATGGAATCATCCTATAATTAAATCATGGGGATGGCTGACTCACATTGTGAATATACTAAAAAAAAAAAAAATCACTGAATTAAGTTAAATCCTCTGGAGAATGTAGATATTTTTGTTGAGGCAGATAATCCACCTGGTTAGATTCAAACCACAACTTCCAACTCCCCTTCTGTGGTCTGTGATTCCAAAGTCAGTTCAGTTCCCAGAGTGTGGATGGGGCTATTCAAGTTCTGTCCCACTTGTGTGCCACCTAGTGGTCGGTTGAGGACCACGGGCGGTGGTCTGTCAGTTGAGCCTCAGTCTTTGGTGTATTGAGCAGGGCCAGGTCCGTGCAGGGGAGCAGCTCAGAAAGGAGCCCCGATTTCGTAAACAACTTTGTGGGTTCACTTCACTAAGCAGCTCTCTCGGCAATTTCCCTGTTACTTTTGTTTCCTGCAGCTTCTAGTTTTTAGTCTTCTGATCAGACACCTGAGGCTTGACCTATACAGCTCTGCCATGTATTTCTGCATCTGGGGCCAAGCAGCAGGAGGACAGAGTTGGAACAAAAGCAACTTCACCCTCTTAGTTTCACCCTCTTGGGACTACAGCTGCACCAGTTGAAATTTCTCCCCTTCAGAGTTTTGGTTCCTGGGTCCCAGGTAAACGGGAATTCTCACAGGCTGTTTTCCAGGCTCTTGGCTTGGAAAGCCCCCTTCCCCGTTCTCCCTCTACAAAGCTCTTTGCCGTGTCTCTCAAAGCCCTGTTCAGCGGTCACCACCTTTGAGAAATCTTTCTAGAGTCCCTAGAATGAACCTCTGTCCTCTGAGCAATCTCTGTATCCTACCCCTATTTCTACTATCAGTTCTTACTTCACGATGTTCTGAGGCATTTTTTATGGCCCGTGGTACACTGTGAGATTTCCAAGGCTGGAACATTTATTGCTGCTTCACTGTCTTGTAGTGCAGTGGCTGACAAAAGTTTACATTCAAAGTTTCTTGAATTTGTTTACTTTTTGGTTTACCCTCTCCCCAGCTCTAATTTGTGTCCCTTTATCTGGCTTTGGAAACTCATTAAGCTCATTAGAATTGTGTATGAACTAAGCAGGTGACAAGCAAGGGCCTAGGGGATTTTTCTGAGTGACATGAACGTTAGTGCATGGACTTTAATAACCTTTGGTCTTTTTAAGGCTCTTGTTTCCTCATTTTTGCCTGTATTCTGGTAGAAGTTGGCAGAAAGCTTAGTTCCAGATAGTTTAGGACTCATCACTGTACACAAAATTAGAAGGCCCTAGCTGTCCTCTGAAGGAATCTACAATTTGAAAGAGAGAAATAGCCATGTAAAGTTTTCAAAAATAGAGAATAACTTTTAAGAACAATACCTCCTGATTAAATGTGGGGTTTGGGGGGATTAACTGGAAAGCAGTATGAATAATTTTCAAAATGCTGATATGTTGACCCCCAACATAATCCCTCTTATGGGATTTAACATGGTGCTAAAGGTATGTGGCAAACAAATATCCTTTTAGTAAGCTGCTCCTTTCATGCTTGTCTCTAATATTTTGGGGATTGAGATCTTCTTCTTGGGCTGTAAAAACACAACTGAGATTTCTAGTAGGGAATACAAGCCCAGTCGCCTGCTGGTAAAATTTTAGATTTAAGAAGCCATTTTTGACCTTTGCTCCAATTAGTGACAGTCATCAAGTTGCGATCTCCTACTTGATCTTGTGACATCAAAAATTCTAATATGACAGTAGGATTAGAAAGTGAAGAAGGAAATCCCAAGGTTTTAGAAGGGAGAAGAAATTACATTTTTTCCTTCCCAGACACGGGTCTCCCCAGTGGAGAAGTCAAGTCAGGTGAGGCAATCAGCACACTTGTGCAATCCCCGGCTGACTGGAGATTCTAGAAGGTGAGGGGGTGAATCTGAGGCACCGAACTCAGGATCCCCCCAGTAAGGTCTTAAGGTTTGGGTGATCACAGCACAGTTTAGGGAGCACAGCTGGAACTGGGCTGAAAGTAAATTTCAACTCTGCTAAGTTAGAATTCCTGAGAATTTATATAGGAGCTTGCTTTAAAAAGCTCACCAGTGCTCCACGGATGGAGGAAAATTTGCCAACAACAACAAAGATGCAAACAATATTGCAGATACATATTTAACCCATTTAAAAAAACACATTCAAAAAATAAAGTTAGCATTTCCATTACTGTAGCATAATACTAATTTTGGCAAACCGGAAGCACTACCTGAATTGAATACGGTCCCCCTTCTTCCCTGCCAAAAAACTCCAAACAAAACACTTCAGAACCATTTTAGTAACATTTTCTGAAGATTTATTTTAGAGAGACAGAGAGCGAGCGAGCACCGGGGCCCCCACCCCTGGCCTCTTCCCCTGCGGGGGGCTGACCGTGTTCGCCTCTGGCGATCCAGCTCCTCCAGGAGCCTTCCCTCCCCCTCTGCTGCTGTGATCTGGCAAAACCCTACGTTCACCCTCGCAACACTTCCTACGTGGCGCTGTGATTACCCATCTCTCCCACTTGGGCGGGAGGAAATCAAAGCTCTGCACCCGCGCCGGGGAGGAAAAGGAGTCCGAGACTCAAATCACAGAGACCCTGAATCTCTACGTTCAAGGAGGACGAAGGGCAAGGAAAGGAGGGTGAACGGGAAGAGGAATGCCCCTCGAAAGCGCCACACAGTCTCCGGCCTTGCTGAGGGATGTAGTAAGATATGTTAACATACATATATAAGGAGATGTAAGATATCGCCTTTGCTTAGAAGTGAAAAATATCGGAATTATGGTGAATAGTGGGAAGACTCCACCACTATTCTGTATGGTCCTGGGATTTGGCTCACACAGTAACCAGATCATTTTCTTTTATTCATACACATGAATATTTCTACTTTATATTCAAGAACACTTTAATTTTCTCTTGCGCGCGCACACACAAGTAACAGAGTAGAAACATTTATACATTTGGAATCACAGGAATACTTCGGTTCAAATTCTGAAGATGCCACTTTTAAGTTGTGCAACCTCAAAGGACCTACTTAATGTCAGTTTGCAGCTCCTCTGCTATAGTGTGGAAAGAATTTTAAGTAACCCATATAATTTTAAGGATTAAATAAGATAGTATTTGTGGAACCCACCTTGTGAACTTTATATAGAGAATGTTTGATATTCTTACATGGATGTAGATATGACTACTTTAATTATGTTCCAAAAAAACTATAGTAAAAAATTTTAAAATGACTTTTATGAGAAACCTTTAAAAAATTGATATATAATTGACCTATAACATTCTATATCAGATGTACATGATTCAATACCTGTATTTGTGAAATGATCACAGTAAGTCTAGTTATCCATCACCATATGTAATTACAAAATTTTTTATTCGTAAGTTTTCAGATATACAATACAGTATTATTAACGATAGTCACCATGCTGTATAGTACATCTCCATGACTTTATAACTGGAAGTTTGCACCTTCTGATCCCCTTCACCCACTTCACCCACCCCAACACCGAGCTTCTGGCAATCACTGATCTGTTCTCTGTATTGATGAGTTGGGTTGTTTTTTCTTTTAAGTTTCCATGAGATCATATGGTATTTGTTTTTGTCTGATTTATTTCACTTAGCATAAAGCCCTCAAGTTCCACCCATGTTGTTGCAAATAGCAAGATTTCTTTTATGGCTGAATATTCGTGTGTGTGTGTGTGTGTGTGTGTGCGCGCGCACTTGCGCACACACACGCCTGTATACACACAATTTCTTTATTCATTCATCTGTGGATGGACACTGAGGTTGTTTCCAAAACAGTTTTGTTTTTAAAAAAGATTTTATTTTTTAAAAAAGATTTATTTATTTTAGAGAGAGAGAGAGAGAGAGAGTGTTGGGGGAGGGCAGAGGGAGAGCACCTTCAAGCCGACTCCTTGCTGAGTGCAGAGTCTGATGCCAGGCTCGATCCCACGAGCCATGAGATCATGACCTGAGCCGAAACCAAGAGTCAGATGTTTAACTGACTGAGCAACCCAGGTGCCCCATAAAGATTTTATTTTGGGGGGCGCCTGGGTGCCTCAGATGGTTGAGTGTTTGCCTTCAGCTCAGGTCATGATCTCCAGGTCCTGGGATCAAGCCCCGCATTGGGCTCCCAACTCAGCAGGGAGTGGGGCATTGGTGGTTCAGTGGTAGAATTCTTGCCTGCCAACTCAGCAGGGAGTCTGCTTCTCCCTCTCTCTGCCTCTCTCCCTGCTTGTGCTCTCTCGGTCTCTCTCAAATGAATAAATAAAAAAATCTTAAAAGATTTTTTAAAGTAATCTCTACACCCAACATGGGGCTCAAACTCACAACCCCGAGATCAAGAGTTGCACACTCCACTGATTGAGCTAGCCAGGCACCCCACCAAAACAGTTTTCTTAAGCATTAGTCCTATCTTCTCATAGTTCCATGTCTCAAAGTCATTCAAATGAAACAATGCACAATAGGATTATTCTTAATAATTATGAACATTTATTAAACACCAAGAGCATACTGCAATGGTTGCTATGTAAAAACACAATTAACAACATAGTGTCCCTGCCATCGAGCTTACAATCGAAAATGAAATGCAAGAATGCTGTAAGCATACCTCAAACTTTTCTTAACTTAGTAATGGCTATTTTGGCAAGTAAGTGAGGCAAAATGGCCTATCATTTTAGATACAATGTTAATAAGGCTTTGAACATGATCCAAAGAATATTTTACTTGTACCCAGACATTTCCCCCAATTATAATAGGCTTGGTAAGAAAAAGAGCACTTAGAAATTGGGTGAGAACAATGAATTATTTCAAATTGCCTTGTAGGACTTTAAAAAGAGAGAAATGCTTACTAGCCCAAGTTTTTCCACAGCCAGGGAAAACCCCATGAAAAATATCATGAATTCGACCAAGCCTGTCTTCTATTCCACTTGCAACTTTTCGACTTCCTCCTCCTTTCCCACAGGTAAGGACTCCAGTGACGCCCCTAGCAGGAGGGCGTCTACTGTATCTAGACAAAATATCCTAAAGTTGTAGAGGGTTGCCAAATCTAACTTCCAGGAAATATTAATTCCTATTTTAAAAGAGGAGTGAGCAAAGACAGCAGTGCGCATCTGGCTGCAGGAGAAGCCGGGCTATGTAAGATACGTTAAGCAAAGCAGCTGAGCTCAGTTCATGCATCTTCAATGTGATTAAGAATATGGGTAAATAATTGCTTTCTGTCCCTTATTTCTGGTGTAGGGGGATTTGACAATTTAGCATCAAGATCCCAAACTGCAAAGCCTGTACTATTTTGCCTATATCCATAGTATAATATTTAATAAATACTTCCAAAGTTTTCCTTGCTGGTCACGTATTAGCTGACAAAGGCATTCTGAAGGGATTCTGATTCTTACTGTCAGATGCAAAGTCTTAAACTATATATTGATTATTTTCAACCACTGATAATTCTTTGAACTCTAAAAGAACACTAAAAAGTAATTGGTTATAAGTTATCTGAAAACTGAAATAGAATTTACTCTGTAAAGTGCATGCACAAATTTTTAAAAAAATACATGCATACAAATATTTTAATGGCAGATTGGTAGCATCCTGAGGTTTTTTTTAAATGGCAAAACGGTATTTCAACAATTTTTTTAAAAACCAGTAATTTCCTCCTTAAAAGTCCATCTTGGGAACTTTCTTTTAAATGATAACACAGCAGCAGCAACATTTAAAAAATGTTCACAAAATTTGCTTTGCATACAAGTTTATCGAGAAAGAATGGTCCAGAAACTTCAGGATAAACTTTCTAAAAACACTTTTTATAAAGTAGAATAATACACTACTTTTGACCTAAAATTGACATTTAAACATCCTCCTCCCAATTTAAAAGTGTCATTTTTACCTCCTCCTTATAGTAAAGAAAATCCAATTACAACATCGGAAATGAAAAACTTGAAACACCTATCAATATCATTCTTCTAACAAGATGACAAAAATTAATTTCCATTAATTAAATTCAATTTTTTCTCCCCCAAAAAAGAGAGAAAAATAAAAAATCAAGTATCACCATAGCTGTGGCAGAGGAATTTGGGTTTACAAATCTCAATCAATGCACTTATTTTTGGTATTGCATGAAACAGCTACAATTCCTGAATAACATATGTTTTTCTAAGGCAAGGCAAGGTTGGTTACGTATACAGCATAGACATTAGCATGGTTATAAAGGTAAGAGGACCAATACATATACATTCACTTGTTTTAAGTGATACATTCCAAGCTACATAAAATTTCATTTCGTGTCCTATTCTAAGACTACATCTTTGACCTTAAGCTTAGAAGCATAACTGCTGTAAATACGTTAAAAAATACTTCATTTTTTCCAATATTGTAAAGTATACTGAATTTTCAAATGCCTAGTATAAATTTTTTTTGCACAAAATTTAAAAAGGCATACTATTAGCTAGCTATAACTACTGTGTTAAGTAATTGTACTAAGGAAGTTCACAAGAACAAAAAACTAAGCATAATTATTGCATTTAACAAAAAATGAAATCAAGTAGTTCTGAATGCACTTGTTTTTTGTCTTAGTAATGTGTATATTCATTTTATAGCCACTAGCTACTAGTTTGATAAACATACTCAGATTCTGTAAGATTTGTTTTTCTTGGCTGGTTATTTTTTTTCCTTCTATTCTCTCCAACAGCAGTTGGAATTATTTTTCTTTCAAATATGAAGTAAAATAATGTTTCTATTTTTTATCTGAGCCATGTGAAAGCTGACTCCCTACTTTCATTTTTAGAAGTTAAATTAATTTTTTTGGACCTTAGTTAAAATCTAACATCTAAGCCATGTGTTTTTTGCTGTTAAGAACAATCTACATTTTGACAAATTGATAAGGGTTATTAACAAAAGCAAATCTTGACTTCATCTGTGTTTTAAATATGATTACACAGGCTTTTTTTCTTTTTTAATGAAAAGAAGGAGATGAAGAAAACCATTCATACAGGCCCTCTTCACTCTCAACTATTTTGAGATACAGCTCTAAACAGAGTGGATCAAGTCAAGTAACGTTGGTAATCTCTTTTCTTTGCGTAGAAGAGAAAAAACAAAGGAAGTTATTTCCTTCCTAAGGTCTCAGCTAGTTTCTTAAGTCTTTTCTTCAGCTCCAACGGAAATTTCTCATAGCACTTCTTACAGACTGGCTTCATGTCAAACTCCACAAATTTATTCCTAAAGAGAGAAACAATAATAAATTAGTAGAAATGTATTTGACACAGATATATAAATAATGTGAGGTAATTTTACTGAAGTAAATGAAGACACTATATGATGACATTGATATTCATAGCAAAAACCTATAATTCTAATCTCAACTTTTGTTATGGTGGTAGATGTAAAAAATTACCGTATCATTTGAAAAAAACTGTCCTTATAACCTGATCTTTTATATATCTATTTGTGTTATACAGAATGTACATTACATTTTAGTCTGTGCTATGTACACAGAAAATCTAATGTCAATATAATTAGGTAAGTAAATCAAATCAATCACACATTAAAGTACCATGAAAACACTTTAAAGAACAGTTATTTAAAGCCCAGAGTTGTATTTCTGTAATTTGAATGACCTTCTCTTTGTTGAAAGCAAATTAATCTTCATTAATATTTTAAATTAGGTATCTATGAGGTTTCATCTTTCCTTACATAAAATGGTTTGCTTCCTACCTCCAACGACAAAAAAAATCATTTTCAAAGAAATCTTAAATTGTAATGGGTTATTTTGGTTAGTTGTCTGACAGAAAGGTTGGTAGGGGAGATATAAGAAAGTTTTTAATCACCCTTAAGAAACAGAAATGAAACAGATTGCCTGTGGTTCCATTTTATGAATGGTCAGCTGTATGGAGAACTCAATTCTTTCTTTTTAAAGTTGGAGCAATACACACATTATCAATTTATTTGTAAAACAGTTCTGGAGAGGCCAGGTTTTTAGACAGCTTCCTAACTATCTGTTATGCATTTCCAAATGGTAATTACAATTGCTTATTGCTGTTGGAATCCACGGTCCTAAACGGTGAACTGAAGATAATACGCAACTTTATAATTTGTACATTTTCCTCACTTGTTTTTAACATTTTTTTTATTTTATTTTTTAAAGATTTTTTATTTATTCATGAGAGACAGAGAGAGAGAGAGAGAGAGGGGCAGAGGGAGAAGCAGGCTCCCAAGGAGCAGGGAGCCTGATATGGGACTCGATCCCAGGACTCTGGGATCATGACCTGAGCTGAAGGCAGATGCTTAACCATCTGAGCCACCCAGGCGCCCCTTCCTCACTTGTTTTTAGGTGGCATTTCTGGAACAAGTCTAGTGGTACATTGTTATCTATGGCAAACGATTAAATCAGGTGATACAATTTTAAAGAACAAATAACAAAGTTAATTCCTAATCATATATTTAATAAAATGAAAACTCTTATTTTCAAGCATTACATGGAATTTATTCCCTGGCTGTTTTTCACAGAGATCTGAATGCTGACAGAAATTCAAATGATTTTATTTTTCCAATGACAGTTTGATTTAAATAGTACTCCTGAGTTACAATTTTCTCCCAAAGACTTCTAGCATGAAAGCTATGAAAACTGCCATTTTTTGGATGAAGGAAATAAATTATCACTACTTTGAGAGATACTGTTAAGCAAACTTCAATGGTTTTAATTTTATATTTGAATTTTAATTCCTTTTTATGGAAGGAAACATGAAAACTGGAACAATAATAAACTTTCGGAGCTCAGAACACAATGGTAACTGTGAGGGAACAATGGGACAATCATGCTAGTAATTCAAGAGAATTTCAAAGATTGAAGTATTTCCCACAAAAATCAGGAATAAAGTAGGGCTTGAAAACATCAAGAAAATGAATTCATAAACAGCAGCAATGAGCACTCTATGAAAGTGCATACAAACACCAAAGACAGTAGATCTCTTACTAGGTATGGTAGGTGGTCTTTGCTTAGATACAAAACATGCTGAAAGGATTTAATACAGAGCTTAGAACATGTGACACTTGGAATTTATCAAATAAGTCATTTTAGGCAAAGACCAAAAACCCGGATTTTAGAAGCTGTAATTAGCAGAGAAAAATAATTTTCCCAATATCTATTAAATAGAGATTGGAAATCTTCCCTTTGAATCCATTTAAAAAAAAAGAAATCGATATACCATATTGTGATATAAACAAAGAGATGAGGGAGTCGACAGATTAAGGGAAATAAGTTAAGTACAAGCCGGTATTAGGTGGGGATTTTATTAGTGTAGCTTTAATAATTTTAATAAGTAGGCAGAAGAACCAGCTCTACACGGGACAAGTCCTTGGACTTCAAGCTCTGACAGCTATAAATACATGCCAAAAGAAACAAAAAAGCAGAAGGCCCAACAGAGCAAAGCACACTCCAAAGGACTAACCGAAGAAGCAAGCAGGGAGCATGCTGGCAGAGGGACAGAGAAGGTCACAGCCACACTGGCTTTCTCTTTTTCTGCTTGTCCTTATCCTTCGCTTCTCTCTCCCGTTTGGCAAGTCGCCTCTTAAATTCTTCTGGCATTTTTTCGTAACAGTGTTTGCAGACTGGTTTTAGATCAATTTCAACAAACTTATCCCTTGGAGCAGGACAAAGAAGGAATAGAAGAAAGAACATAAGACAATTAAAGGGAGAACCCTTACTCTTGAAAGGCCTACACAGAAAGAACAAGGAATAAATTCTCTCTTTTAAAACTCCGTATTTTATAAAATGTTCCCCCAAAGTGTTCAGTCTTCGGATTCACCCCAGACTAAACTGCAGACTTACTTGAGCGTTAATTTAGTGTTGCAGGTGGAACAGGCAAAACAGCTCACACACCAGGCCTTATTAAGAGCAGAGACCACTAGAGAAAGAGGAAAGACATCGGGTCACACACACTGGTGTGGAAGGTGGTAAAGCTGACGTTTTCAACCCAAACAGAGCTAAGGTGACTTCCACGACACTTGGAAGAGGTTCTCAAGAGGTTTTCTTGCAAAAACGATCACATGACTAAAAATCTCAGTGCCATTAATGTTTACAGAATCAAATTAATTAATTTAAGGCTATTTTTTCACGTTACTAAAAAACTGAGCACTTATGTCCTCCATGACTGTAGGTTGGTTTCACCTTAGGGAAGATTACCACTGGCTTTTTCAACCTTTATTTATAGTTAAAATTTTCCTTCTTTCCTTTGAGTACCCTGTGAAGCATATAAATGGTATGTAGCATGTCTTCCCACCAAAGCTTGTCCTCTCACTCCCGTGGATGTTGGGGTGTGTATTTAACATGCACTACGTCACTCAGATGAGCTTTTCTGGCACAGGGCCTGCCTACAAGCACACCTGCCGCCACCTTTCCGTGCCTACCACCACGGGCCCAAAAAGAAATATGGACTAGATAAGTAATTAAAAAAAATCCAGACATTACATTATTTGCCTGTAGAAGTCTTTTCCAAAGCTGACGAACTGAGCTTCCTCTGACAGCTTCTCTCACCTGACAACTATCTCACGTAGGAAGGAGTTAAGTTTTATTCTCTATGGCACTGAAGACTGCTCTCCTGAACTACTTCTTTTGCAAACTGCATCATGGGCAGCGTTTTGTGAAGTATTTCCCGAGTTGGGTTCTCTGACAAGAACCATGAAGCACGCTGAAAACAGGAATGTTTAAATTTTGCCAGGAAGTTTCTAGCAGAATTGTGCTAGCGACTATTAGCAAACACAGCTGCTTCCTTTCTGTCCCAGTTAATCAGCCCTGCTTAATTACCACAATACAAGGCTGGTAAGCCTAGAAATGTCTACAGAAAACTGCCAGGTTTTAGCATCTGCAGGGTTAAAGGGACTCTCGCCGACTACCATGGCAGATTAAGCTGTTCCTAATAAACACTGCTCTACAGCTTCCAAGTTATATAATTCCAGGGGATGGAAATAGAAACAGACCTCAAGGTTGGCCATGAATGTTCCCACAATATCTACTGTAACAACCCTGTGGCAATGCCCTTAAGTATTATCATAAAAGAGTAACAAATCCATCTCTTAGGATACTATCATTTCTGCTATGGATTACTTGAGAAATATGCCAAAGGAAAAAAAAAGGTAACTGATAATCATATTCCAAACAACAGCAGTCATTGACCTCTTTCGATTTTCACATTACCCAAGTGTTTTTGTGTCAAAACGATGCCATGTAAAATCCCTACAGATACTTACCATCACCTTCTATAACACGGTTGCAATGGAAGCAAACATCACCAAAGAGCTGAAAGTGAAAAAAAAAGTGGTAAAAATTCAAGATGTGTTAGAACTAAGTTTTAGAACACCAAATATTTAATATAATTTCAGTTCTTTCTACCACTTAAGACAAATAGCTGGCTACCTAGATCCAGAATTTACCATTCATTACTACAGAAAATCAGTAAAGTTCACGGACTAGTTTTTACTTTTTACAATGAAAATAATTTACTTTTCATCACTATCAGAAACAAAAAAGGCTTTGGAAATGTTCCAGATTTAAGGAAGCTAAAGGAAAAAACCCTAGCTAGGGTCCAGTACTGGAGTGGAAAAAAATGATACAAGGACATTACTGGTACAAGTGACAAAACTCGAATAAATACACTGATTATATCAATATGATTAACTACGATTATGTAAGAGTACTCCATATTATTGGGAAATATAAGTTGAAGTATTTAGGGGTAAAGGACCATGATGAATTAACTTATCATCAAATGCTTCAGAAAAAATAAGTGCCTCTATATGAATACATATATTTGTATATAAAGATACGTGCATTTATTAAGTGTATGTTTTTATACAGAGAAACACATGCAAATGATGAAAAGACAGGTAGGTATTCTTCATATTTTTATTTTACAACCTTTTGGTAAGTCTGAAATTATTTCCCAAATAAGAAGTTAAAGAGATCTCTATAGTCTGATGTACATTTTCCAAGAGATTTCCTTGTAGCTAAGATATTAAGCTCAAATTCATCTAAGTATATATGTAGTATCCAAGGAGTACAATCAATACCTGGTTATAGTGGGTTTCACAATATGCAAGGCCCTTCCTTTCATAATGGCGATGTCCAAGAAATGGCTTTTCACACTTGGCACAAACAAAATGCTGAAAAAAAATTACTAGAGGTCATTTTTGAATTGCCGTATTTTATTTATTTAATGAAGTAAAACTCCAAAGTTAAACTATCCTCAGAGAAGACACATGAAAGTTTGAGGTAGTTATTCCATTTGGCCAGGGCTAACCCTGTGACACTTTCAGTCTTACTTAATTCAGGTGTCTTGAGCTTTTGACAGGTTACTCTAAGACACAGCCTATTTAAACAATGCAGAATGAGAAAAGAGGTCAACATGTTAGTAGCATTGATAAGGGAGGGGGGCTACTGCTGCATATGGACCATGACACTTCCAGCTTCAAGAAGGATTTAAGAACAAAAGAGCATATCCTGTGTCATTATGGAGAGATCACAAAAGCAGTGTATAGTCTATATTTTCTACAAAGTCATTTGTCTTGAAAATGTCCATACTTATCTTTAGAATCCCTTACTCTTGCCAGCACATCTGATTGAAAAGTACTGGTTACTCCTCCACCACCGATGGCTCACCTCCACATGCCACTGTTTGCCCATGGCATTCACCACGCGCCCTTCAATGGGCCGTCGGCAAGCACCACAGATGGGGACCCCCATCTTATCGTGGCATGGCAGGCAGTACAGCTCTCCTTTCAGCTCCCGGGCGTCAGCCGTCAGCTCCTTCCTGTCCACGAGAGAGATACCCCACTGAATATTACTACTGAGAGAGGAAAAACAGGCAACCAGTGTGGCTAACTGAAGATGTCACTGTAACACTCCCTGTAACCTTCTTTTTTCCCCTCTTAGTGTTGCTTGTGAGTAACCTAAATTAATAGGCTTGAATGGGTTTCCGATTCCTATCAAAACATCAGTATCATACAATAATGATAAAATGTACAAATAAGTCAGATCACACTGATCATATTTATCACTTTTTTTTTTTTTTAAGATTTTTACTTATTTGAGAGAAAGAGAGAGACAGCACGAGCAGGGTAAGGGGCAGAGGGAGAAGCAGACTCCCGGCCGAGCAGGAAGCCTGATGCAGGGCCTGATCCCGGGACTCCGGGATCACGACCCAAGCCGAAGGCAGACACCCAACCGACTGAGCCACCCAGGCGCCCCCATATTTATCACTTCTTTGTCTATTATCACATTACAATCCCTTTGTCTTCCTTAAAAAGCTAGAAGAGAATCATCACAATGCCCAGGATGGACTCGGTGATAACATTATCTATATTATCCAAAATAACTGAGGTCTAAAGTTAGAGACTAGTTCCATTTACTAACAATTAAATTGTCACAAGTTATTAAGAGTTATAGGTTAATAGAAAATAAACAAATGAAATGCCCAGAACTTTCCTCCCCCAAATGCTTAAGTTCAGTATGATTTTCAGTCTCCTGCATCAATAAACATTTAGCCAGAGACGGCCCCCATCAGCGAAATGGACTTGTTTAACATTTCATCTGTTTTAAGTAATTCTTTAGAAGTGCTAATGACAAATGAACAGAGAAAAATTCCACAGAGTGGAACAGGCAAGAAAATGAGATAAGATACAAACTGATAATCACAAAAAAGATGAGGTGGCCGTACTTATAGCACACAGCTGTTTTCTTGATTTTTAGCTTATTTCTCTTCACCCCACAATAATTTAGCATGTACGTTCATACTGATTAAAGTAACTTTTTCCATTAAATTTTTATATAGTAAATTTAGAAAACCACAGTCTAATAATTTATCATGAGTTTCGGAAGAAAAAAAATCCCTTTAGAAGTAAATAAAGCAAAATTAAATAATTGTAATTCAAGATATTTTAAGATAACATCCTAATTATTACAACTGTAAAAATTACGTATGAACAAACAGAAGACTTCTTAAAGTTTTTTTTTTTGATCCTGTATTCAAGAAACAGTGATCAAAATCAGTTTTGGGGACAACTGAGGATATCTTACTATCAACTGAATATTTAGAGGTATGTGTGTGTATGTACACACACACACACACACACACACGGGGCGAAAGTATGCTGCACACACTCAAAAGTGGCAAAATGTTAAGTGATGAAACTCAACGATGGGTATTCTATTATTCTCTTGATTTCTTACAGGTTTTAAATTTTCTAGGTTACAAGTTGGAGAAAAGCAATCCGGTGTGCTGGAGTAACAGAAATATAGAAAAATGTGATCTTTTATTTTATTTCCACTATTTGTGCAATCAAAGGGAGGGGATGGCAATACCCGCAGTTGGCACAGTTGAAATGGTCTGGATGGTAAGGGTCATTCTTGAATATCAGCGGCTGCTCATCAATGATGGCATGGCATTTCTGGCAGATGTATTTTCCAAGGCCTCTGGCTTTCTCACGATTATGACAGGGACGACACAGATGTCTAAATAGAGCCAAAACTTTTTTAGAAACTTCAGTTGAAAATCTGAGGTTCTAATAATTAGAAAGAACTATGCTTCTCATATCTTTGAAAAGAAGTTAAAGAAGTCATTTTTTTAAAAAAATCACTCCTGGCTTACCAGAGCAGAATCAAGCCACTACTTGAAAATTTATTCCAACCCAGGTAACCCGACTCCATCTTAAGTACCTATCCCCCTTCTGCTGGCCCAGGGACACGTGCAGCAGCAAGGCTGCTACCCAGAAATTCTAAGGTCCTCTCCTGATAGACACCAGATGAGCCAATACACTGCAGGCTTGAGTCCCCTGTACCTTCAACTCAGTGCCCTAAAGAACCGCCTCACAGTCCCAGGGGAAAACAGGCATGACCTTGTAGCAGTTACTTCTCCACCCACACCTGGCAAGGATGGAAAACTCCTACCTCCCAGCATTCTTGACAAACCCAATATCCGCCAGAACTTCCTGGCAGAGGTCACAGCGGAAGCACTCAGGATGCCAGCTGTTATTCATGGCTTTGATCACTCGGCCAATGATGAATTCACCTGTGGGAAAGTAACACACCCAGGACGTCCAGTGTGCTCCTACTGCTGAAAGTAGTGAGACAAAGGACACGAAGCAAACACTGTTTAAACAGTTCTCCACAACTAGGGACTCTCTATGTATGTGTTGACCACAGTAAGCACTGCATTAGGAAGAAACTCTGTCTCATCAGAGTCCTTGGTTTTGATTCTGTAGTCATATTTTCACGTTGTCTTATCACATCTCTGAATGTGGTCTTCCTTTTGTTTATTTCTGGTAATCGCTGACACAGAAAACTGAAATCCACAGCACATTTTCTTTTTTTTTTTAATATTAGCTTTAAATGCAGGATACTGCATTTATTTATTTTTTTTAATATTTTATTTATTTATTTGACATAGAGAGACAGAGTGAGCACAAGCAGGGGGAGTGGCAGGCAGAGACAGAGGGAGAAGCAGGCTCCCCACAGAGAAGGGGGAGCCCGATGTGGGACTCGATCCCGGGACTCCGGGATCATGACCTGAGCCGAAGGCAGTGGCTTAACCAACTGAGCCACCCAGGCGCCCTCACAGCACATTTTCTTGAAACCTATACATAATTTCTTTTTTCACTAAACTTTAGAACATTCTACTCATTTTTTCCAATCTCTGGAGACCTTCTCGAAGAAGTGTTAGCAACCAGTGAGGTGGTTAAAATGTAAGCAAGTTAAACACTTGTGTAACACACAGCAATCCCAAAGCAACTGAAGCACCCCTCCGATGTCTTCCCTGTCTCTCTCCTGGCAACCCCCAAAGTGAGTATAAAGACTTTTAACAAGGGGCAAGAACATTCCAAAAGATCATCTGATAAAAGTCTTAATCAGTCCCCAATTTTACAGTAGATGTCCTTAAAAATCATTTCTCTCTGGGTTTTGATACTCTTCCAGCTTGTTATCTATTAATGATAAGGAAAAGGACCAATAAGATGCTATTTATAATGAGCACCAAACACCATTTTCACCACTGACATAATTTTGAGACTCACTTTTTACTTTGCCATTCAGCAGTAAAACTTACCACACTGATGACAGCAAGGAGCAAAGAGCATCTGAAAGTCATGTTCACAGTACTTCCTTCCTTCAAACTGAAATAGAAAATACCATCAACTTGTATAGATGAAACAATCACAGGATGAATATAATTATTCTGTGGAGACATGTAGGAAAGATGTTTCTGGATGAAGAGCTCTGCCCTAAGAATTTATAATTCTACTGAGATTTTTAAAAGCAGATGTACTTTTGTACCTTCCCTAAAGACACACCAAACAACTGAGGCGAGACCTGGTACTACGGCTCCAGAGTATAGTGACCTCCCTCCAGCAACGCTAACTCTTCTCCGGCTTACAGACTCACCTTGAAGAGTCTAATGAATGCGCAGACCCCTCTCTCCAGAAAATAGGCATATACACACAAACCCCGTCCCACTTCTTTTTTAGGTTGATATCTGAGATGGTGTACCATAAGCTTAAATATTTCCAAAGAGTAGATATTCTAGTATATTTTAGATTTACACATTTCAAACTGGGACCAAAACCCATTAAAAAAAAAAAAACACATTCTACTTTAACAGTTGGAAAAATTTATACCTTCCACTTTTCTCCTTGAACTATTTCCATTTCATTTCCCCCAGAGTTTTACCCTGGTGTGATATTTTTTTCTGAAACTCTATATTAAAGTCTTTAACAGATCACCCTACCATACTTCTCAGCAATTAAAATGTATATAAGGAAACTTTAAAATCTGTTTTACTTTCTGAACCCATAAGGCTCTAAAACATTCTTTTTCTTCTGGATTAAGTTATCATTACAATGATTATTAATACACAAATGGTCAAAACATGAATACGTCAAAATGTCAAATTTTACTTTCCACTACTTGTTTACTTGAAAAGCCTATCTGAATGAGATGAGCAGGGCTCCTCTTCCTCTCACAGTTATTCCATGTAGCCACGGATAAATATGACTTACCATTGGAAGAGTCAGGGTTCAACATTAATTTCTATTTTGGGGGCTGCTTTTACCCTCTTCACATAAGTCATGAGAATTATATCATGTCTCCCTTTGAATCTTTGAGCTCCTTGCAAATTATATGTCACATATATCACATAACTATCAAAATCCATTTTTATTTATTTATTTTTAAAGACTTTATTTGTCAGAGAGAAAGAGAGAGAGAGACAGCACAAACAGGGGGAGCAGCAGGCAGAGGGAGAAGCAGACTCCCCACTAAGCAAGGAGCCTGACTCGGGACTGATCCAGGGATCCCAGGATCATGACCTGAGCCAAAGGCAGATGCTTAAACGACTGAACCACCCAGGCGTCCCTCAGAACCCATTTTTAATGATATATCAGTAGTCAACTCAATTTGCTCAATTTATTGAACATTATCAACTACACCTTAATTGGCAGACCGGCCAAAGCAGATTTATCTTATGCCGGAAAAGGCTTACTTCATTTTGAAATTCAAATGAATAAGTTCTAATACATTTAATGAATCTGTTTTTAAAAAGCTACAGATACACTGATATGCTACATTAACCCAGCCCTATCATAATGCACTGTGTGTAGCCCCAAGCAGAAGTTATTTATGAAGTAGGTATGTTCCCTTATTGGATGTATATTACGTATATATATAGAAATCTGATGTTTAGCTTTTAGCAATAATTAAAAAAAATTAAATATAAAGACTCAGAACCAGCTCCATTGATTTAGTTGGAAATGATAACTTGTTTACCATCCACCCCAGTCTTAATCGGTGGTGAAAGACCAGGCTCAGAACTGTGTGTGTCAACTGGTCACTTACATTCAAGAGTAAAAGACTGATTGATTAATGATAACAATGCATCACTAATGAATCAATGAATACTACATCAAAAACTAATGATGTGGGGCACCATGATCGCGCCCCACATCGGGCTCCCTGCTCGGCGGAAAGCCTGCTTCTCCCTCTCCCACTCCCCCTGCTTGTGTTCCCTCTCTTGTTCTGTCTCTCTCTCTGTCAAACAACTAAATAAAATCTTTAAAAAAAACCCAAAACTAATGATGTACTATATGCTGGCTAACTGAACATAATAATAAAAAAAATGCATCACATCTTCAGAAGGAAAGGAGAATGTTTTGTGCACTATTTGTGTGTGTGTGTGTGTGTGTGTGTGTGTGTGTGTATGCATGCATGCATGCATGACGGTTTTATTATAGTCTTTAAAATCAGTACTTTTTAATGGAAACAACTTGACCAAAAAATCTGTCACAGAATCTGGAGACCCATTAAAACAAAGTTTAATTAAAAAAAGAAAAGAAACACTCAACTTTTAGTTTGTATTTAATGAAAGAGAAAGATGTATATTGTTTAAAACAAAAACAATGAGTCCAGCAGTTGGCATATATACTGTATCCGCTAGCGGAAGGTAGAAATTAGGATCGGTTGTAATTTGAATAAGTTTTTTTTTAAGATTTATTTATTTAGAAAGAGAGACTGTGTGCAGGGGAGGGGCGGGGGGGGGAGGAAGAGAATCCCAAGCAGACACTCTGCTGAGCGTGAAGCCCAAAATGAAATGGGGCTCAAACCCACAACCCTGAGATCATGACCTGAGCTGAAACCAAGAGTCAGATGCTTAACCAACCGAGCCACCCAGGCGCCCCTCAAATAAGTTTTTAAAGATATAATTCAAATAGGTATCACAGCGTAGCAGTTAAGAACACTGACTGTGGATCCAAAAGGCCTGAAGTCTAAATTCTGGCTGAACCGCTGACCGACTGTGTGACTTTGGTCACGTTGTTTAACCTCTTGGTGTCTTGTGAGAGTCACAAGCCTCTTCTGTTTTGGCTGTTTCTTCTGGCTCTTAACACATACTCATCATGTTCACCATTTCTTACCACTGCTCTCTTTGTTTTGCTCTCACCAGGACTCTCCCTTTAAAAGGATCAGTTCTGTGGTATAAATATACAGTGGAATACTATTCAGCTATAAAAAACAAAATCCTGCTATTTGCAACAACGTGGACAGAGGCATTACGCTAAAAGAAATAAGTCAGGCAGAGAAAGAAAGATACTGTGTGATCTCATTTATGTGTGGAATCTAAAAATGCCAAACTCACAGAAACAGAGAGTAGACTGGTAGTTACTGGGGCCTGGGGATGGGGGAAATGGGGAGATGTAGGTCTAGGGGTACAAACTTCCAGTTATGAAATGAGTAAGTTCTTGGGATCTGATGTATAGTTATAGTCAACAATACTGTATGGGAGACCTGAAGTCCACTAAGAGAGCAGGTCTAAATGTCCTCACCACACACACACACACACACACACACACACACACACACACA